ATTTTAAAAACCACTTAGCCCACCCCCTTCATTTTTCTCTAGCAGCATTCTTTTCCCCATATCACAATGAGGAAACTTAAATCCAGGACACAAGCAGACTTGTTCCATATCATTCAGTGACAGAGCTTTGTCTTGTCTCCTAATCATAAAATGAAAGGAGTATGTGTGTGTGTGTGTAAGCATGCATCTCTTAGAAAGGGCTATCAATGGGAAACACTTCTGCATTTCCCCAAGACTCACTTCATCCCAAGTACTTCCTAGATTTCTCCTGTCCTCTTTGTCCTTGAAAGAATATTTTTTATTCAGTAAGTATTTAGATTGAAAATCACACTCATCTCTAAAGTCTTCTGCTTGTTTCTACCTGGATCCTTGCCTCTAGGTAGTGATGAGACACAGTTTCTTTATCCTTGGGTTGTTTTCTTGGGGACTCAGCTGAGTAGAGACTGCAAGGTCCTGGGAATGAACCACCTGAGAAAGAGTTTCTAGTCTTGGGTCAGATACTCATTCTTTCTCTGAGACCTTATGAGAATCACTAACCTTCTGGGCTCCCTGATAGAATCATGTTCAGCCTTTCTTAAAACCATGTTGAAAGCTCCCAGGATCAAGTGAGGAGACTTTCTGCAAAGGGTCCCTAAACAGCTAACTCACCTTAGTGATCTTTCTGGAGGGTGGGGCAGATGTTAGTCATTCCACTTCACAGACAGGACAATGGAAGCCAAAGAGGAAGGGCTGCACGAAGGGAAAACTGACAAAGCCCAGTTCTCCCTTATTTCTAGCTCTTCTTTTCTTCCCCTGAGCTCCCCTCATGAGATCCTTACTTCCCAGATCTCTGGGCAGGACAAGAGTTCCAAGGTATTTGGTCCATTGTCTAGGTTTGCAACCCCACCCCACACCCCCAGTGAAATGGTGGGGAGGAGAATGGGAGCCCGTACATTGGTGAGGCTGGTTCAGGATGGAGAAGGAAAGGAGGAAGTTCTCACAGAGGCTAGATTCTCACCCTCCACAGCTTGGGGTTGTCAGTTATAGACCTGGAGGCTTTTCAAATGTGGGTCGATTATATCTTTATCAACCACTCAATTGAGAACAGAAGAGAATTGTCAGTCTCCAAAATAAAGGAAAAATAACAATGAGTAGGGTTAGAAAAAAAAAATGACCGAAAAGCTGATAGTTCAGAAATCTAGAAACAACTTGGTTCCAGTCCTCTGGGGGTTATGGACAAAGCACTGGACAGGGGATTGGAAGCCTCCTCTGGTCCCTAATGCTGTCATACTCTGAGGTCTTGGGCAGTTTATCTTCCATCCAAGCTTCAACTTCCTCATAGGCAGAAAGAAAGGGAAAATATGATCTGCCTTGCCAGGTCTCTACCAACCAGAATATCTGTGTCTACACCTGAGAACACTCTCCTTTGTAGTCAGGGCCAGTGTGGATGGAGAAAATCACCTTTTTTTCACCTCCCACTTCTTGTGCCTCTTGGGAATTTCACACAATAAAAAGAATGCTCTCAGGGAGCTGGAGCTTTCTAAGTCACCTTCGTTTATAGTTCCTTTAAACCCAGAGAAAAACCACCTCTTAATTCATGTACTGCTGGGAAGGGGAATCTGCCTTTTAAAAATCCAAAGGAAGCCATTAAACCAAGTTGGTAACCACTGTGACTCATAATAAGTTCTCTGTAAAAAAAAAAAAAAATGAGTCAGAACGACTTTCCAGGAAGTTTGGTTACTTTAATTAGCTACCTCTTTTTTCTTGCCCTTAAAAACATGCAGTAGTCCGATGATTACCTAAGTATGGATGCTTCCAGCTACTGACCTGAGTCCCTACATGTGAAAGACTAGGGGTAGAGAAGTTCTAGACAGCATGGACTTCACAGTCTCCTTGGAGTCAAGGAGCCACACAGAATTATTTCCTGAATGAAAGCAAAAAAATAGACCTCTGGGGCCTGAGACTACTTGGCCTGAGTAAAGAGGCAAAGGGCATCCCATCTACCTGCAGCCCCAAAGCACTAAGCAGTAATGCTCATTCTGTATATTACAGAATCACAGAATCTTAATGATGCCATTAGAGGTAATGCCATTAGATAACTCTCAACCCACTCCTGAAGATGGGCATTAATTGTCCCCATTTATAGAAGAGATAAGGCTAAATTAACTTATCAGATCATACAGCTAGTAAGCAGCAGAGCTGTGATTTTTATCCCAGGTCTGTGTGGTTCTAAATCCACTCTTCGAAGGTCACCTCTTCCTGCCTCCTAAGGAGGTAAAACAGCTGAGCTAAGGTCACATGTTAAATTAACAATAACCCTGGGATAACAGATTTCAAAAGTCCCAGTTTATCTCTGGATTCTTTCTCCTTTAGACTAGTTTGTACATAGCTCCCATGGTCCCAGATAAGAGGCTAGAACTTCCTTAGATTGTCTGCTTAGATTGTCGAAAACACCTTACCCTTCCTAACCCCCACCTAAGATCTGAACTTCCTTCCTCTCATTGTTCACCATTCAGGGTTCTGCATAGCTCCTTCTCACTCCCAACATGGTTATCCTGACTTGGTCAAGTAACTAATAACAGAGCGCAAGTGCCAGCCTGCTAAGAGTAGTCTTCTTTCTACATGGATACTCTCTTAGCTGTGTCTCCACGTACCTGGGGCAATATGCCTGGCCCAGATAAATAGCCAACCTGCTACCAGGAAAGGGCGACCCACCTTCTTCTCAACCATGGCTTCTCGACTCTGATTTTTCTCTAGGGTGTGTCAAAGCTGAGACTGTACCTATCAGTCGCCAGCTGAACTGATTTTAAAACTTTTCTGGAGTTCTTGAGATTGGAGAGAATTTTCTTTTCAACTGGAAAGAATAGGTGCCCCACTTTATAGAAACTTAGGAAAACATACTCAGCTAATAAATTAATTACTGGACTGGCCCACACTCTCCTAGTTCAGTTGTCATTACCCATAAAGCAAAATATAAAGCCTGTAGCTCTACTTTGCAAATAGACACTGTTTCAATATTAATTCAAGGCAGAAAAGTTTATGGTAAATGCATCCTCAGCTGCACCCCACCACAAGACCTCAATTATTTTGTCCCTTATTCTAAGTCTTTTAGCTTCATGAATGGAACTAGACTGCACCTGAAGACCTGGGAAAAGATGTTAGCTCTGGGAGACATTCTGTTCTACTTCTATTTTCTATGGCTCCAAAGATCCAGTTGAAAGGCTAATTGAGGTCTTAGTGGGATACTATTAAAGTTATTTGGTGGTGTTAAAATTTATACTCATCTTTCTTTGAGTTCTTTTTAATTATATGGAATTTCAAAGCAAGGCTTGGACTATGGAGTTAAAAGCAGAGAGGTATGCAACTTTTTTCTCAATTCTTCCATATCCTCTTTCCTTTCTTCACAAAGCAGTCATCTCCAGCTACCAACCCTTCCTTTCTGAGTCTATTTACCATCAACATGCACATAATTTGGAAGAGGAATACTTGCACACAGGCCTCTTTGGTTAGTTTCCTGAGTAAGACTTTTGAGATATCTAGGTTAAAAGGTCCCCATCTACTAAAGACAGGTTCTGCCTTCTGTCAGTAGCAGCTGAGAATACAGCCTGCTGCTTCTAGGGGTGTTGGAATGGCACATTAAAAAGTGACTCTTCTCCCTTTCTTGTTTTGTTTTTAAGAATCTGGCCATTTCCTAGCCTAGCTCCAGAGATTTCTCTGTTCCATGTAGACCAATACGTATTATTCGAAGGCTCCAGGGTCATAGCCTGCATCTGTAGGCAATTCTTTCATTTCCTAAGACTCAACTTTGGGATCTGATGGGCTAAATGACCAAAGGAGAAGAGATGCAACATTGTTTTAAAATTTCCAACAATTCTCTCCCACCAGGTGCTTTCCTGTTCCATTTCTCAGAAGAGAAGACACTTACCTGTCTCCACCTGGCTGATAGCATTGCGAGCATCCGTGGAATCTGCTACATCCCCACTCATCTTGATATCTGCAGGGAAAACATGAATGATTTTAATAAAGGTCACAATTTTTCTTGCTTATAACACATGTGGCTTTAACTAAACAGCAAAGATGAAAGTGTAATTACAACCATCACTTTCCAATTTCTGATTCCTGAACACACAATCATTAGAAAATTCACAAACTCAGGGCACATATCTCCTCCTCTCATGCTTTCCTCCTTTCCCTTGCCTTTCTTTCCCTCTTTCCCCTGCCTTTCTTTCCCTCTTTCCCCCATGCTACTGCAGGGTCTCTCACCTTTTGCACCATTGTCATTCCTTCTATCATTGGCCTCAGGCTAGTAAAAATTTAACAAGGGGAGGGGTACAGCAGAGAGGATGCTTCCCATTCTTAATCCTCATTTCTTTTTGGATTTGGGGAATTTATTTTACTTTTTAAAATAGCATAAGAAATATCCATCTCCCCTCTTCCCCCCATAATAGCCCTATGCTGGAAGGCAGGAGTACCCTTGAACCAACGCTTCACCTTTCTCCAATTCTTGACTCTGTTCTTTGGTTCTCAGAGGTCAGCCTACTGTCTGAGAATCACACCCTAGCTCCTGTGTGGGCTCCTTGGATATCCTATCCTTTGGAGACCCTTACCTTCTCTCCTATACTTCCATATGTTCAGTGAAAAAGGAATAGCGGATGGGTCAGTGCCCCGAAGAGAGATAAGACCAAGCAAGGCCAGTCTCAGTGCTGTGGGTTTGGCCTCTCTGCCCTGCTTCATTTCAATAATTAAACATTTACCCACAATAAATAGCTGCCACCACCTAAGAGGCCCCTTAGTCTCCTCCAGGGTCAGAAGAGAGAAGGAAAGGGGCAACTTTGAACTCACTCACTCTCTTGGCTACTCTCCTTATTAAACCACCCAAACACTGAAGCTGTTAAAGACAGAAAAATATTTTACTCAAATTGTGTTGACCCTCACCCCTATCCCCACCTCCATCCTCTTCTCTGGAACAGCATTTTAACTCTTTCACACCAGGTAAAGTCTTCAGAAGAGAAGACACTTACCTGTCTCCACCTGGCTGATAGCATTGCGAGCATCCGTGGAATCTGCTACATCCCCACTCATCTTGATATCTGCAGGGAAAACATGAATGATTTTAATAAAGGTCACAATTTTTCTTGCTTATAACACATGTGGCTTTAACTAAACAGCAAAGATGAAAGTGTAATTACAACCATCACTTTCCAATTTCTGATTCCTGAACACACAATCATTAGAAAATTCACAAACTCAGGGCACATATCTCCTCCTCTCATGCTTTCCTCCTTTCCCTTGCCTTTCTTTCCCTCTTTCCCCTGCCTTTCTTTCCCTCTTTCCCCCATGCTACTGCAGGGTCTCTCACCTTTTGCACCATTGTCATTCCTTCTATCATTGGCCTCAGGCTAGTAAAAATTTAACAAGGGGAGGGGTACAGCAGAGAGGATGCTTCCCATTCTTAATCCTCATTTCTTTTTGGATTTGGGGAATTTATTTTACTTTTTAAAATAGCATAAGAAATATCCATCTCCCCTCTTCCCCCCATAATAGCCCTATGCTGGAAGGCAGGAGTACCCTTGAACCAACGCTTCACCTTTCTCCAATTCTTGACTCTGTTCTTTGGTTCTCAGAGGTCAGCCTACTGTCTGAGAATCACACCCTAGCTCCTGTGTGGGCTCCTTGGATATCCTATCCTTTGGAGACCCTTACCTTCTCTCCTATACTTCCATATGTTCAGTGAAAAAGGAATAGCGGATGGGTCAGTGCCCCGAAGAGAGATAAGACCAAGCAAGGCCAGTCTCAGTGCTGTGGGTTTGGCCTCTCTGCCCTGCTTCATTTCAATAATTAAACATTTACCCACAATAAATAGCTGCCACCACCTAAGAGGCCCCTTAGTCTCCTCCAGGGTCAGAAGAGAGAAGGAAAGGGGCAACTTTGAACTCACTCACTCTCTTGGCTACTCTCCTTATTAAACCACCCAAACACTGAAGCTGTTAAAGACAGAAAAATATTTTACTCAAATTGTGTTGACCCTCACCCCTATCCCCACCTCCATCCTCTTCTCTGGAACAGCATTTTAACTCTTTCAAACCAGGTAAAGTCTTGGTGAACCAATTTGCGTACCTGGCTCACCAGCCAATCTTAGTTAAGCAGGCAGCCTTAATTTGCACGAGGTAATCAGGCAGTTGGCAGTCTGGACACCGGTGGTCTGGAGATGATCAGGATGAGGGGAAAGGGTGGACCTCTGCCTCAGGAAAAACGGGGAGAAACCTACTTATTATTTTTTTAGAATAATGACGTGTGTGGCTCTGGCAGAGATTTAAATTGTGGCTCCTGGGCATGTAGTTACTAAAGGGCAGGAGTGACTGTCTTGCCAAGCAAGACAGAGATGGAAGTCCAGAGCCTCTCCAGCCCTTAGAACACCCTGGAACAGAGGAAGGAGTAAGCCACTGTGGTTTGAAGAATATTTTGGAGACCCACCAAAGTGATAAGTCCCAGGTAAATACTTGGAGCTCCATACAGCCACCCTCTTGGACCTCCACACGTCCTGCATGGTCACAGACCTTCAGGGGAGACGCTGCAACCATACCCCACCACTTATCCCAGTGTACTGCATTTAGGAATGCATTTATTTAGCCTAACCTAAGTCTTTCCTACTGCAGTTTGAAACTCTCTGTATAGTCTGTTAGGCATGAATATGCAGACTAGTGTGGGCCACCTGGACAGATCTGCAAAGGGCTTCTTTTGCTGCTCACCTTCACTCCAATGGAGAAATAAGCTTTGCTTCATCCTACTCCTGAGTACTATCCCTGGAGCTGTGCATGGCCTAACAGACCTGCTCAGCTTTTACTTTCCCTTAGAGATTCTTCAGAAATGCTGAGAAAAAGACTGCTCAGAAACTGTGGGAGGGGAAGAATTTGCCCTTTGGTGGTTTTTTAATGCTTCAGTAGCACCTAGTATTAAAAGCATAGGTTTTGGTGAAAGACAGACCTGGATTCAATTCCAGTGTCATCTCTAACTAGTTGGGGAACTCTGGCCACATATTTGAACCTCAGTTTTCTCACCTAAAAAACAGGAATAATGATACTTCCCGGAGTTATTATGAGGAGCAAATGAAATACTGAATGAAAATTGCCTGGCACAAAGTAAGCATGTGATAAACGAATTAACTAAACAGGCTTTGATGTTAGTTCCCTTCTCCCATTACAACAAACGGCTTTACTTTTGTCTCAGCCCTATTATAACTTGTCCTTTAACTGGGGGAACCATCGGCATTCTTCAAATTCTGACTTCATAGGAAAAAAGCTCATGGGGACAGGAAGAGTTTAAGATGTAGTAAGGCTGGGATGATGACTAGATTCTCTGAATCAGCTTATTTCAAATTTGTGATGTTTAAGAAGGGTAACGCTTTAAACCATAATTTTATGTCTGTAACCCAAACTTGCTTCCAATACCCATACTCTCTGCATTTCCTTTAAATATACCCCAAAGCCATCTCACTCATCCTTTAAATGAGCTTAAGTAGTCCTAATCATGTCTAACAATAGCTTTTGAAGGAGTCAAAAACCCCACACTCTGCATGGACATCTACTAATTTGATGTACTCTTTATGAGAGCAACACTGTGACACTTCTGGATTGGAAAGGGATTTGAGCCTGAATAGAGGGGCAGGCTGAGATGATCTGTAAAAGCTCGAAGTCCCATAGGATGCTAAGATACCAAGGATCTGTTCCTGTTGGGTAGGAGGCTGTGGCTGCTGGGTGGGACGAGCTCTTGGGTCTCAGCCTAAAAATGGGCCAACACCGAAACTCCCCAAGATGCCATAACCCTTCGCCTATTGGACAGCACTTGCAGGGGTGAGTGAGAGAGGTATGGGGTGGGGCCAGGCTTCTTGGCTGTTCTTATCTCAGCACCGATTGAGTAGGCTCTTTGCCATCACTCCCTTCCCTGGGGAGGCTCAGCTGCTCTGTGTAAGAGCACAAATACCAGACACAGACCTTCATCTGCCTCGCTGGGACCATCACACTCTGAGGCTGGGGCAAGATGTTGGTGGCTGGCCTTGCTCCTCTCAATGCCTTGGTATGACCCAGGAGTAGATCCTTCTTACACATTCGTGAACAAGGATGTGTACATGAATTTGCAGGAGCAAAGTCCAGGAGGCAGCATTTTCCCCAGGTTGCAGGCTGAGCATCTACACTGTCCTGGAACCCCTGGTTATAGGCTATACAGGGAAACCATCCTTCTCTCTCCTACTGTCTATCTTCATTTCTTTGGAAGTAACTGGAGATCCCTCTTGACTTCTTCCCATACCTGCTGATGAGGGCACTTCTACCATAGAGAATTCAAGGGACCCAGTAGTCTTAACTCTGAGCCAGCCATGGCTCCCACTCTTCCCTGCAAGAGACTTCTTTCTTTCTTCTTCAAGAGAAATCCACTTCCTCTCTCAATGAGGCCTTCCATCCCAAATGGTATACTATAACTGGTATCAGTCTGTGAGACTTGATCCCTCTTTCCCAGCCCTAATGCAGAAGAGCTCAGTGAGAAAGACAGAAAAAAGAGATGCCTGAGACAGGCCAGGTGTCCCCCTCTGGCTGGCTTTCCACTGTTTTCCTCTTTGTTCTCTCCCTCCCCATGTGTCTGTCTGTCTCTTATCTACCCCTCTGACTATTTTTGGCCTAGGAAAGGGAGCCCCTCCTTGGCTGGAGTGCCCCTGTGTCTGGTGACCTCATGCTTACTCAGGTGTTCCTGCTCCTGTGTGAGAGATGCTCTATGGAGTACAAAGTGCTGAGGCCTCAGGCTAACCTGATGTGGCTTACATCCAAGTTATCAGAGGAAAAAGATGGGCCGACTCAGGGGCTGCAGTGATTTTGGAGCTGAGTGTGTGTCGGGGCGGGGGGGCAGGGAGGAGAACCCTATACCCTACTTTGTGTACTCCTGCTCCCCCTCTTTCACCACCAAATTCTTCCAGCAAATCAATTGAGGAGTCATCCCCAAGGGCCCAGAACTTGGAATTCACAGGGGGAAGTGTGTTAATAAACAATCTGCGGGATATAGGATAACTGTGAGGGGGAAAATAGGACCCAAAAGAGACCAAATTTCCACCAAAAGGACCCTGGACTGAGAGACCCTAAAGAGGGGCCCATAATGAGACACTCCACAGAAGGACCCTCCCTCACAGACCCCACAGAAGAGCCTGCACTGAAAAACCCTGCAGAGACAACCCTGGACTGAAAGGCCCACTGAGAAGACCCAGCAAAGAGAACCCTCAAGTAGCGAACTAATCAGAGAGACTCTACAGAAAGTCCCAAACTGAGAGAGCCTCTGAGGTGCCACTGAAGGGAAACTAGATGCCACACAGAGGCCCAGACAGCCCTGAGGGGAGAAAGACTAAAAAAAGTGGGCTGGGGAAGAGCAACAAGTAAATGTGCAGAGATGAATCAGGTAGCCCACTGAAGGTAGATGGAAACCCCCTTCTGGGGAGTCACCTCACCGTAGGTTTAGCTCGGTCTCCCCCTTTGTAGCTGGAACCCCTGCTTACAGAGGACAAGTGTGAGGGAGGGATCTGGGTTTTGAAAAGCATCATCCTGGAGTTTCCACCAAGACCAAGGCAAGGAGGGCTTGGCCCTCTCACCTCAACCTCACTCTCTCTCCTGCTCTTTGCTAGATCTTCTTAGCCCCTAGGCTGCTTTCCTGCTGGGTGCCAGCTGTCCCACCTCCTCCCACTTCCCCCAGAGCAGGAGGTGGAAACCTCCCAGGAAGTCTCCTATCTTGGTCCTAAAGAACTTTCCCCTAGAGCCCACCTTTCTAAATTCTTGCTTCCATTCAAACCAAGACCTTCTTGGTGGGAGGTAAAAGAAGGAGAGCAGGGCTGGTGTCACAGGGTCTCAAAACAGATTTTCCCCAAACATTGGGTAACACCAGTTAGATGGTTCCTGTTGTCTCACCTAGCCTTTCTGGCAGGTCCTGGCACCTGGGGATGCACTCAGAGTCAACACCTCTCTCAGCCCTGCCAAGACTGCCTCTGGGAACTGTGGACTCTAGGGCTCCCCAGGTACCCATTGCTGCTTGTTTGCAGCACTGGTGGGCCTCAGGAAGGGCCAAAGCCTCCAGTCTACTCTGCTCCTTGGAGGTGGGTTGGGAAAATTGCCCCCCAACCCTATTCTTCTTTCCTACTCATCCAGAAAGGAGAGCAGACAACAAAATTCCTGTTAACAATGCTGAAATCCTAAATAAAAGTCATTGGGTGCTGCCCACTTTGAGAGGCAAATTACTGATTTGAAATGGCCAAATTAGGTTTAGTTTTCTTCACTCTGAATCTATTCTCTGCTCAGGCGCTCAGACTTCCATAAGGCCTACCCTAACACCAAGCCCAGCCCCTCAGGAATAGTGCTCCCTGCCCTAACCCAGCTGTGGAAGGAGAGATCAGCTTGGTTCACTCTATGCCCACATACCATTCGCACAAGAGAAACTGACTCCTGGAAAAGTATTTCCATTTCCTAAGTTCCCATGCCCGAAGGAGGGCTTGATATTTGAATCCATGGGACATGGGACACAAAGGATGTCTCTCACCACCCCATCTCAGACACAGAGATGGAAGCACCTATCTCATAGCCCCCTGTGCAGGGTGCTCCTCCTGTGAGGTCTTACAGAGCTCCTGACCAGCACACTGGACTCTTCGCCACCACCCCTCCTCCAGCACTGAGCCTATAACACTGCCAAGACCTGCAGAGCATGTGTGTGGGCACACTTTCACACATGGGGGGGCATACCTTCACACATGGGGTCTGCTCTACCACCTTTCCCAGCTCACATAGGGACAGATAGACTCACCTCTGATACACAAGACACATGCTTCCACAAGCCCCAATCTAATACATGTGCAGCATGGCACCTGCCCCAGGTGTGCCTCTGTAATTGCCCAGCCCCCTTACTTCTAGGCTCCCTCAGCCCAACTTCAGACCTCACAGATGCCCACTTTGTTTCCACTTCACGTAATTGCCCAGGACACAAAACATGTAACATGTGGATACAAGTATTTTCCTCACTTATGTACTCCCTGGTCCACACCCCTAGCTGAATGAGTGAGCCACCCCTCTGCAATCAGTGAATAAGGCAACTTCAGCGAGTCGACAACAGTTCAGCACACCCAAGTCTCACACATCTGCCACTCTCCAGATTGGAATCTTCAGAAGCCCTCCCACCCACCAACCCTGTAGCCCCCACATTTATTCTTCTCCAAAGTCCCCTCCCCCCTACCAAATCTACCTCCCCACTCCCGCCCCTGGGTGACCCGCTATCCACACTGACCTCTTCTGGTCGCCGGGGAATAAGACCCTGGAGAATGGTGGCCCCCTCCTTCGCCCCTTTTCACGCTCAGTGACACCTGTCAGAGCTCACTCTCTCCGCCCTTACCTGTGTGCATGAGTTCCAGATTCACCATCCTGCCCCAGGCGGGGCCAAAACCAGCGCCCCCCCAGGACCCTCGCGTCGGCCCCAGCCGGGCCCCCTGGGAAGCCAGGGTCTCCTTCCTTCCGCCTCCAGCCACCGCCGCCGCCGCGGGAGCTGCTGCCAGAGCCTTCGCCGCCGCCGTCGCACGCTTTGCTCCTCCCGCCGGGGCAGCACTCGGCACAGCCAGGATTACCACACGCCCCAGGTGAGCACGCGGCGCGGCGCGGGGCGGGGGCCGTCGACCACGCCCCATGGCCGGTCCCGGGCACCTGGCCCCCAGCCCATGCAAAGCAATAATTTGCATACGGGAGCTAGGGGTCTGGGGAGGAGGCAAGGGGTGCTGCCAGGGCGGGTCCCGACCCTGTGGAACACCTCTTTGCCCCAACCCGCCCTGGCAGCCTCTTCCCACCATACCCGCAGTAACCCAGACTCCTGGTCCAGCTCGCCCTTTTTAGGAACCCCTGGAAGATTATTACCCAGCCGGACTGAACTTCCGTCTGGACAGACTTCCGAAGTGTAAACGTTGCAAGGAGCCTGGAATGTTTGGAGAAGCCATGTGTTACAGGAAAGAATCTGGTTTTGGAAGCCTGTCTCAATGGTTTATCAGTTTGTGTCAATGAGACAGGCTCTTCACTTCCCTGAACTCATTTTACTCATCTGTAAAAAGGAGCAAGTGTGAATCCTAACTGACAACTCTCTAGATGGAGTTAGCAGTTCGCCAAGCTCACCAGCTCCCATGCATCCTCACAGCTTCCTGGGACCTAGATGGGGCCCAGCTTATTGTTACATCTTCCAGGTGAAGACACTGCCCTTTGCCTACCCCATGAAGGTCCCAGGTTGCTCTGAGGCTTTATGACAGGATGATATGAAAGTTATTTATCAATGTCAGGGGTTGTGGGGACAGCCACCCCTCTCATCTACAGAGCTGGGAGATGACAAAATCACACAATTCCCCGGTGACAGAAAGAGCCTGGCTGGAATCAGGTCTCTGGACTCCCACTTCGGTGCTCTTTGCAGCACCCATCATAGATCTGAGCTCCCCATCCCTCTTCTCTCTACTCTTTAGGTCACAGTAAGTAGTGCCAAGGTCAAGGGGCCACCTGTCTTGTAAGCACAGAAAGCCATATGCCAACGGAAGGGCAGGGTCTCACCTTTCCAGATGTCTTACTATCAACCTACCTTAGTGTCAAGGACTATTTCCTGCTCACAGAACAGGTCCTGGGCTTTTCTGTCTCTATGTCTTGTTTACAGTGTTACTCCCACCTAGTATATCCACCCACCATCTACCCCAATAATCCCTATGGTAATATCCAGCATTTATTGAACTTTTATTTTGTGTCAGGCACAGTACTAACACTTTAAAGCATCCATTTTGTTTAGTCCTCATAACACCTTGTAGATTAAACTGTTATTATTTACATTTTACAGATGGGAAAAATAAGGCTTAGTGAATTTAACTTGTCCAATGTTACACAGCCAATAAAGTATTAGGGCTCCTATTTTAAAGCACTGCACTTTACTCCCTCCATGCACAACTCAAATGCCACCTCCTTTCTGAAGTTGGAAGTGATCTGATCTTTCACTAAATTACCATAACACTTCAATGTTCTTAATAGCCCTTGTGGTGGGTTCTTGGGACTTTTCTTACCCTACCTCCTGGTTGTTAACTAATTGATGCCCCACAGCACTGAGCATAGTGCTGGGTATATAACAGGTATCAGAAATGGCTCAGTGGGTGCTACAGTGGCCCTGGAGAAATAAGAAATGCTTAATAACTGCACTTGAGGTCCTTAAAACTACCTTCCCCTAATCACATTGCCCTGTCTCCTCCTACTCTCAGTAAGAAGACAGGGAACTTTTTTCCTGTTTCTTCTGGCTGGGGGAAGTAATCAAAGTTTCTTTGAGGCCTAGTGAACCCAGGAACCCCCGCCCCCCAACTCAGGACACTTGTAGCTTGTCCCTTCCTTCCCTCCGCTTCTCCCTTCTTACCCTCCCCTCCTCCGCTTCAGGCTTGGCCCCTTCCCTGAGGTCCATTTCTTATCTACAACTGTATGTCACCTGCTATCATTCTAGAAAACTACCTGCCCATAGTTTATATACCCCTGTGTGCTTGTGATTTTCATATCACTATTTGCATAGCAATAGTATGGCTGTATGTGCTGAGGGTCTTATTCTCTGACTACTATGTCTGAGACCTGTTTCTCTTTTTCATGTGCAAAATTACATTTTTTTCCCCCTCTGGGCTTTAGTTTTCCAGAAGCCAGAGGTATTTGTACCTGAAGATTTCCAAGCTCCAGCAGCCTAGGATTTTGGGGTGGAGTGGGGGTGGACCTTGGGGGTCATGCCCACTGAAGCAGAGATGGGACCTTGGAGATTCACAGTTGGAAGTGCAGTTTTGGGTTCCAGACATGGAGTGGGAGGATGGGAGTGTGGGAGGTGGTGGGAACTGGAGGACAGTGGCAGGCATTACCTTACGTTCATTCATTTACTCATTCCTTTAGTCATTCTTTCAATAAATATTGATTGAGCACTTCCTATCTGCCAGGAAAGGTGCTACATGCAGAACATGCTCCTTCTTATTTAATCAGCACAACTTTAAAGAGAAGATAACAATTTTTAGGCTCCTTGTATAGAGGAAACTAAGGTTCAGGGAGGTTAATACAGCCAGTAGATGACTGAATTGGGATTTAGACCAGATCTGCCTGACTCCAAAACTGGTGCTTTTAATTTTGCTTCCAGTGCTTGAGCCTGAGTTTCCCTTTCTCTTCTCCTCCCTTCTATCATCTTATAACTTGAGGTGGAAGGAGCCTAGGTAACATTTATATGAAGAATAGGAGGTCCACATGGGAAGGGACTTCCCCAAGGTCACACAGCAAGTAAAGGCAGAGCAGAGACCCTCTCTCTGCTCCTCCTTCATATGCTTTTCCTGGGTCTTAGAAGGCTGGGTGGGTTTATGGCTCCTGTGTATGGGGCAGGGTTGGACAATTTTTGTTCCTTCCCTCTCTGACTTGCTTGGTGATAATTTCAACGAAATGAACTGGAATAGAATCTCAAAAGACCCCTTTATCCCTCTCTCCTCCCTAGTACTCATAGTCTCCATGAAATCAGCTTTTTGAGTTCTAGGCAGATGGGAGGTGGTGAGGAAGGTACCACCCCCCTGTGCCTAATACTCCATATCTGTGTTTAGCCTGGAAGAGGGAAAATTGTGGGGAAGAGGAAAGAAATAGGGGGTTGCCTAGAGATTAAAAAGGGAGAGGAAGAAAGGGAAAAAGAAGCAAGGACAGGAAATTTTAGTGCCTTTGGACATCAGTAGAGTCAAATGCAAATGAAATGCAAATAAAATGCAAACACTCTCTCCCTGCCTCCCCACCCTCTCTCAACAGCTAAAGGACTTGTTCAGGGAGTAGCTAAAGTCTTACTCCAGGATTCTGTGGTCCCCAAACTGTTATCAACTTGGACCTCTTCCCAGGTCCTTCTGGTCCTCTGGAGGTGACATCTGAGTCTCTTAGCTATACCTCTAGGAAGTCACTAGCTCTACAGGCTCCATTTCTAGAAATCCCTAGGAATCAAGCTTCAGACACATTGCTGGAAATGGGTTATTGCCCTGGAAAAGGTACTCAGGGGAGGGAGGGGGGTTCCCATCTTTGTTTCCCACCTCAGCAAAGGAAAATAGCCTTTTGGGCTGCAGGCCCTGCTGCTCACTCTTATTTCCTGTCATGTCAGCTGGATTGAGTTGTCAAGGCTGGAAGAAGGGTGGAGAGCAAGGCGTCCTGGAAAGCCACTAAGAAACAAGTTCCCTGTCTGCCAGATGGACTGTAGGGCCCAGAGTGTGGGGGCATATAGTGGTGGTCAGTTCTCTGCCTTGGGGCAACCACAGGGAATGAATCCAAGCTCAGGCTTCTCAAAAGAGCTGATGGACAACAGGTAGAGGCCAAGAAGAACTCCTAGGCCTCTTTTAAAATCACACCTCAGAGTCCATCTTAGGGCACCATTGCCAAGGGGAGCATTCATTGTAGGATGCGGGTAGAGGGGGTTAGTAGCAGGGTAATAAAGTAAGAGGGTCTCTGGGAACCAGGATAAAGCTGTTTCTGGGGATGAGACTGTAGAGGACAGAGGAGTCAGGATACAAAGCTATTTCCTGCCTCTGATATCCCTAATGCTGAGCCCCCAACCCCAAACATTCCACGCCATCTAGTATCTAGCCTTCACTCACATCTAGGGAGAGTACACACAAACTCATTGTCTATTTTGTGCTTGAAGGTTCCGAATAATAGATAATGATATGTATTAATTTTAAAATAGCATAACAACTGTTTTCTAATGAACTTTTTTGACCTTGGGGCCACCATTGGGCTATGCTTCAGTCAGTCTTTTCCTGGTTCTCCCAACTTACCTCAGACCAGATAAAGCTCCTGATTTACCTGCATGCTCAGGGCATGCTTAAGCCTAAGGTGCCCTCTTGTGGTGATAGGGGTGTGTAATCCTGTTTTGAGCATCTCTACTGCAAGACTGGAGAGGTCTCACCACCATCTTGTAGTGATTTCCTGTCCATCCGTGTCTGGGGAAACCACAGGTGAGGGCCCCAGTTCCAGGCAAGCTGAAGATATTGACTTTTAGCTTCAGAATGCTGTTGGGTCTTCTAGTCCATGCTCCACATCAAAGGCCAGACTTTACCATGGGATCCCAGTTGTAGTCAGCCAGCCTCAGCCCAGTCAACACAGGGACAGGACCCCTGGCCTTATTGGGCAGTCTCTTCTATTGCTGGACAGTCTGCTGGTTAAAATGTCCTACCTCCCACACTGCCCTCTGGAGCTTCTGAGGTACATGCCAATCCTATACCCCCACATGTAGGAAGTCAGTGGCCATTCATTCATTCATCCATTCAGAGCATGTATTGAGTATCCACTGGAGCTATGCATCAGGCCAGGAGCTGGGAATGGAATGGAGACCATATGTTGTCCCCACCCTTAGGAAGCTCACAATCTGGTAATG